CCTACCTACCTACCTACCTACCTACCTACTTACTATTTTCCTTCCTTCCTTCCTCCCTCTCTCCCAAGTTCCACCCCTTCCTTCCTTCCTTCCTTCCTACCTACCTACCTACCTACCTACCTACTATTTTCCTTCCTTCCTTCCTACCTCTCTACCTACCTTTTTCCTTCCTTCCTTCCTCCCTCCAGGGCAAACCCCCACTCTGAGTGAGAAGCTACTTTGCTCCCCCCCCCCACCTACCCCCCAAGGGCTGCAGACTAAATTCCCCTCTGGAGGGCCAGACACCACATTCCCCTCCTCCCTCTTTCCCCACTGTGGGACTGCCTTTCCTCTTCCTCTCTCTCAGCCTGGCTGGGAACTCTGGGAGTTGTAGTCCAGCAACAGCACCACCAATCCCAGAACCCATCCATCCATCCATCCACATTCCCTTTGCCCCAAATGGTTAACTAAAAAAAAGCGCTTTTTTTGCCCTTCACGGGGACCCGGATAATATTCTCCCTTCCTCCGGCAGGCTTTCTCTTGCTATGTAGATGGATAATGAATCAAAGGTTGAAGCCATAATTTGGGGATTGTCATGGCTGCCAAGGGAAGCCGCAGGGAACCGGATCGGGGAGGAGGGCTGGTGAGAACGGGAGGGGGGGGCCTGCACGTTATCTCCAAAGCTCCGTGCAGAGCCACAGGAAGAAAAAAAAAACCCCCACATGCCAGGTGAAGGAGGGTGGCAGCGCGGTTTGCAGCCTATCCTCTCTTTTCAACCTGCACAAAGGTGGCACAGGTGCCACCCGCCTCCAGGCAACCTTGTTGGTGATGTCCTTCCCAACACACCTGCCGTGGGGCTGCCCACTCCCTCCCGGCTCGTGCGCAGGAGCCACAGAGGCTTAAACAAAGTGGGCACCCTTGGAGAATCTCTCGGTGCCTGGCTGCCATTTGTAGCCCCCCCACCCTCTCCTGAGCCCGGCCTGGTGTGTTTCTCCTGCCCCGTCCGTCCGTCCGTCCCTCTGTCCTTGCGCGTCTGGCTCTCACGCCCTCCGTCCGCGTCCCTCCAGTTTCACCAAGTCTGGGGAGCACCCTTGCCTTTGAGAATGTCCCCTGAGGCGGAAGCCCGGCGCCCATAAATTCTGCCTGTGAATTGGGCTATGGCGGGCACCGAACAATGGCGGAGAGCGTGAGGCAGGGGCCATATTTTTCTCTCTCCCCCCCCCTTCTCTTTTCATCCGCCTCGCCGGTGGAACCTTTGCTAACTTGGCCTGCCGCGGACGGTTGCTAAGGAGATGCTCAGGTGAAACTCTTCCAACGTGCCCGGACCGCCGGAACGAGGCCGAGGGCCCACCAGGTCAGAGGTCCCTTGGGGGGGGGAACACCCCTGCAAGACAGCCCGGTGCGCTTGCCGCATCTCCTCTGGGGCCTGTCCTCCTTCCGTGGGGGTCACGCCTATCCTAGTCGGGGTCCCATCCCCAGCTCTGGCCCTATGACACCCCAACGGCACCGGTCCGTCCTGGCCGGCTGAAATGCACAGGGAGAAACACGGTCGCGCCTGCCGCAGAGCTGAGTTGCCAGCGTATCGTGGATATTTATGGCGAAGCAGTGCGGCAAAAGCCGGCTTGGCTGCAGCCGGGCGGCCTCTCCGAGCGCTGGGTTTAGGGCTGGAAGTGGGTCTTTGTGGGCCAGATCCTAAAACGGGCAGGGGGCTATAAACACAGCTGGCTGTTAGGCCTCCCTACTGCTGCAGGATGCCGAACGTCCCCAAACGGGGTCTGCCGAAGACGCAAATCTTTAGAGTGCCAGAATTTTATTTTATTTTTTTTTCCTGGCGCGGGGGAAAAAACCCGAATCTTCCTCTTCTCCCAGACCTCGTCTTCCTTCTGGTCCATCCCTTCGGGTTTGGGCCGATGATTTACGGCCCATTCAGGATAGACTTTCCGGCAAGCGCGTGCACGTTTACTCTGCAAACAGCCTTCGCTCTTTGTTCTCCTGGACGACGGTGCCCGCTCGCCCTCGTTGGGTTGCGGATCTTCCGAGGGGGTCCACCGGGACACAAGCCTCGGTTTTGGGGGGGCTCCCCTTCTTCTTCTTCTTCCCAGGGGCCTGGAGCAACTCCCCTCTCCGGTTTGTGCCCGGGTTCCTGCGACAGGCGCGTGTGTCTGCGCCAACGTGCTCCAGTAAACTGGATCGGGCCTCGCTTCACGCCGGCGTTCCTTCTGCCGGCGACGTTTCTCCGAGGGCCACGTGGGGCACAGGTGGGAAAGTCCACCTTCCCCCGGGGGGCTGGCGGATCCTTCATTTCTTTTCCACCACTCTGGAATCTTTCTCCCGTATTCGATCCTCCATCCGAACCAAATCTGGCCCGTTTTCCACACCGCCAGCGTAAACTGAATTTCTGCAAAATCTCTTTTTTTGTTTTGTTTTGTTTTAGGAAGCGGGGCGCAGTGAGTGGCCTTGAGTGTCCAGTCCGTTCCTTCCCAAATCGCGTTTTCCGTGCATCCCCGGGAAATTCTCCAGCTTTAAAGCCGCTCCCCTAAATTTGCAGAGGGGTGTGTTTGTGTGTGTGTGTGAGACTTCTGGGTTCTGCCCTTGGCGTCCCCAAATTCTCAGAGACCCGCAACCCTCCTGGTTTTAACAACCTGGTCCGTGTGTGCTTGCAACGTGCGGGGCTGTGTGTATTCCTCTGGACAAGGGCAGATGTGACTTGTGTGCTGATGAAGCCTGGAGCCACCCGGATGCATCTAGGAAGGAGGGAAGGGATCGTGGGATCTTCTCCGGCAGCCTGGGGAATCTTGTCAAGAGATCATGGCAGTCGTTAAGCGAAGCGCATGATTGTTAAGCGTGCTCCCCTTGACCTGGCTTGTCGGAAGCCGGCTGGGAGGGTCGCAAATGGCCAAAACACGTGACCCTGGCACGCTGCAGCCGTCGTAAAATATGTGCCAGTTGCCACCATCACGTGACTGTGTGGGGATGCTACGACGGTTGTAACGTGAGGATCGGTCCTAAGCCTCTTTTCTTGCGTGCCGTTGTAACTTCGAACGTGGTTATAAGTCAAGGACTGTCAGTAGGGCTTCCAGAAATGGCCTGGCTGTCAGGGATGGTGGGTTTGGGGGGGGGTCCTAATGACTCCTGTTTTGGGGTGGCTAGATTGGAGAGGACTTTATACAGAATTACCTTTTCTTCAGTGCTGTTGTAACGTCAAACAGCCGCCAAGCACACACGGTCGTAAGCCGAGGACTTCCCCCTGCACCTGCTTTTCTTTGAAAGACCCCCCCAAAAAGTTTTCTCAGGCCGAGATAAGAAGTGATGCTTGTTAAAAAGATCAGCTGATCAAACCGAGATGCCAGCTCTCCAGGAAGTGAACCCACAACCCCTGGGTCACACCTGACGTTCGTGGGCGAACTGTGGCACCCCGTCAAACCCGGTTTTGCAAATGACGTGTTATCAGCTAACACCCCACTTCCCGAGCAGCCACTCCAGGGCGTGCTGCGGGCCGAGCTGGGGGGGGAGCCCAGCCCCTGAGCATGGACAGAGTGGCTTGGCACTTTGTCCTTCTCGCGTTGGAAGAAGGCCCGCCAGCGTGGCAAATGATTCCTATTTTTTTTTTTCTTTTAACGCACCCTTCCTTAGTACTCACTGTTACTTCCAGGATGATTCAACCGATGAGCTGATTCTGACATTCAAAAAAGGCACGTGATAAGAAGAAGAAGGAGAGAGAAAAACCCCCAAACCCTGTTTTTTTTCTTCCTGACATGACAAGCTATTATCCAAACGGAAAAAGGGGGGTCTCTTTCCCACCCTCCTCTCCCTCTCTCTATTTCCACCCAAAAAACAAAACAAAACCCCTTGCCTTTTCTGCAGGAGTTTAGGAAACACATTAAAATCCCCCTCTTTCTAACATCGGAGTCCGTACGCTCAAGAGTTTGGGGACCAAAGCCCGTTAAGAAAAGAACCGTTTTATTTTATTTTTATTTCATTTTATTTCCTCCGCCACCACCTTCTCCTCCTTTCCTCTCCGAAAACCAATTTCGAGGAAATTTGCAAGCCAGGGAAATAAAAAAAGAAAAGAAAAGGCATAATGGGGAAAAAAAATAAAAAATAAAACGGGCCCTGCTTTGGGGGAAAAAAAAAAAAAAAAAAAGGCCGGGAGAAATCGAAAAGGCAATTGAACGGTGATTTCATTCTTTCTTTCTCTATTATTAGAGAGGTATTATTGCCACACTGAGCTTTATTTGCGTGCCGCTTGCCGGAGGGTGGGGGGGGGGAGAGGAAACGGCACGTGTGGATGCCGAATTAAAGCTCATGCATGCACACGCTTATTGTGTGTGTGTGTGTGTTTATGTGCGTATAAATATCTGCGTGCATCGGAAGAGGATCGGAGAGGTAAACAGCATCCTTGCGCTTCTAAAATTGGTCCAAGTAGAGGATTTTGGCTGCCTCTTTGGGGGACAAAGGACCCCTCCCTCCCCAAACTCAATTTCTGGGGAGAAGGTGTGTTTGTGTGTGTCACACGCACACTTGTGGTGGAGAGGGTCACACATGTGGTGGAGAGGGTCCTTCTCATTATCTTTCTCGTCTTTAAAATTAAGCAAAATTCTATTAACCTTGCTGCCCCTCACCAAATCTTGTCCCCTCCCTCTCTTTCTCTTTCCATCTCTTCTCTCTCTCTCTCTTACTCTTTCTCTCTTTCTCTTTCCTTCTTTCTCTTTTTCTTTCTTTCTCTTTTTCTTCCTCATCCCCTCCCTTCCTCTCTCTTTCTCTCTCCATCTCTCCCTCCCTCTTTTTCTTTATTACTTTCTCTCTTTCCCTCTTTCTCTTTTTCTTTCTCTCTTTCCCTTTCTCTTTATTTCTCTGTCTCTCTCCCGTTTTCTCTTTTTTCTCTTTGTTTTTCCCTCTCTTTCTCTCTTTTTCTCTCTGTTTCTTTCTTTCCCTCTCTGCCTTTGTCTTTCTATCTCTTTCTGTTTCTTTTCTCTCTCTCCCTTCTCTCTCTCTCTCTTTCTTTCTTTCTTTCTTTCTTTCCATGTCTCTGTCTTTCTCTTTCTCTCTCGGGGATGGTGTGACTAAGCGGGACCTCAGTCTAGGACAGCAGAATCTTCAGCATCGCTTTTCAGCCTTCAATTCAATATCTGGAAATGGTTTATAAATCAGATTTGCCGGATTGCGCTGTGGTTTCTGAGACCAGGCCATATTTCCCTGCTCCGGCATTAAATATATTCCGGAGATGGATGGAGAATTTTGGAGGCTAAGACTTTAAGCCTGCTTTGGCTGTGTCCTCCAATTTATTCCTCCAAAATCGCTCCTTTTTTTTTTTTCCTTTTCTATTTTGGGGCCATTTTCAGCCCCCCAAAGATGCTCCTTAAAAGGAAGGTCAGCCCCCTCCCACAGTCTAGCCACGCCCCTTGCTCTGTGCAGCCCCGCCCACTTTCTGTTCCTCTTGCCCAGAGAAAGGACTCCCCCAGACTCATTTCCAGAAAAATCTCAGCGTTCAGTGGCAAGGAAGAGGCATAGTTGCTAAGTGAGATATTTGTTCTGCCCCGTTTTACGACCTTGCCGCAGTTGTTAATTGAATTTGCTCGTCAGAAGGTTGCACAAGCGGGTCACGTGACCCCGGGAGGCTGCGGCCGTCGTAAATATGAGCCAGTTGCCAAGCGGCTGGGTTTTGATCACGTGACCCCGGGGAAGGCTGCGACAGGCGTAAACTCCCCTTATTGGACAAAACACACATTTTGCCAAAATTTTGGCCGCTGGATCACAAGGTGTAAAAGGAAACTAGCCTTTTAGAATAGTAATTCTACTATTCTGTTCTGCTCATTCTATTCTATTCTATTCTATTCTATTCTCTCTTTATTCTAATCTATTCTATATTCTATTCTATATTCTATTCTATATTCTATTCTGTTCCTATTCTAATTCTATTCTATTCCCTATTTTCTATTCTATTCTATTCTAATTTCTATTCTTATTTCTGTTCTGTTCTATTGTATTCTCTCTTCTCTTCTCTTCTATATTCTCTTCTCTTCTCTTCTGCATTCTATTCTATTCTATTTTCTCTTCTATATTCTCTTCTGTTCTCTATTCTATTCTATTCTATATTCTGTATTCTATTTCTACTCTAATCTATATTCTATTTCTATTCTATTCTTTCTATTCTTTATTCCATTCCATATTTCTTTATTCTATCCT